GTTTGGACTGCACGATATCAATGCTTACGACCTTAGACGCCCCAAATGCTTTGGAGACTGCCGCACACTTCAATAGAACCAGGATGAGCAACTGTTTCTTATGATATGTAGTTCTTTGCGAAACTTACGAGAAGTCCCACTGGGCCAGCACCCATAACTACAACACTTGCTCCAGGGGTAATCTGACCTTGGCGGGCGATGTGGACTGCAACAGCAAGCGGTTCTATTAGGGCACCCTCACGACGAGAAACGTGATCTGGCAACTTGTAGCAAAAGTCGTGCGGGGCCGACCAAAACCCCGTTAAGGTCCCATCGTGAGGGGGTGTGGCTGCGAATACCATCTTATGGCATAGGTTATAGTGACCAGCTAAGCAGTCTTCGCAGCGCCTACACGGGTAGCCGGGCTCGAGAGCAACTCTGTCGCCAGGCTTGAGGGTTTCCACCTCGCTGCCAACTTCCACAACTGTGCCGGCTGATTCATGGCCTAGGACCATGGGGTCTCTGACGACGAAGTGCCCGATGGCCCCGTGGTCCCAGTAATGGACATCGGAGCCACATATCCCGGTGTAGTCGATGCCTACGAGTACATTGTAGGGAGAGGAGAGCTTGGGAATCGGGCGTTCGGCAAACTCGACGTCGTGGGACCTGTTCAGGATAAAGGATAGGTTCTATAAACTTAGATATGAGTAGCTGCAACAGAATTCTGGCAGTGACACTCACGCTGGTACGTTTTTGTGGTAACTCTTTTTTACTATCACTTTTTATGTTTTCTTCTCTGTTATGCGGAGTTGAGGGATAACTATCCCCTCCGTCAACAACGGAAAATGTAGGTATAATAGAACCGACATTCATGACTGTCATGGGGGGGGGGGGGTTAAAATGTTTTAAAACAACAGTCAAATTTTAATAATAAGAAAAATGTGAAAGGTGTATCAATACTAGAAAGTATTGGTAAAATAAGTAAATGTTCGACTGCGGACGGCTTTATGAGAGTTACGGCTAAGGTTCAATCAAGTAATTGCCCCATGTAAATAAAAATTGGAAATTAAAACATCAAATACATATCTAACGATAATCAAAATGCATAGTCCAAAATCAATATATGTAGATATATCAGGAGGATATTCCGTGTAATATGCAACTACTACGCAATCAGGCGGGGGACACTAACATGAGGTTATTCCCAAATATGGAAGTTTCCACTTTTGGCCCCCTTTCAAAAGCGGGTCAGCGAATAGGAGGGGCGGGGTACTTAGTGACGGAGCCTGTGCCGCCGGAACCGTGCCGTGTAAAAGTCCTCAAGACCACGCCGCCCATCTTCATCTGACTCCCGGAAACCCATACTACTCTCCCAATCAAATGTCACAGCCGGCTTTCTCAACTAGTGGTTGGATTCGTTCTGATGTCTTCGCCTATCCCTCGCCGGCTACCCACCAGGGTGACTAAGGCTTGCCGTAGATGCCGTCGGAATAAGAGCAGGGTATCCCTTCTTACCGTCCCCCCTTCCCTTTTCCCGGTAGACCATTGATAATTTACTGACTGACGCACATAGTGTGATTCCTTCCGTCCATGTTCCCTGTGTTTACGAGCGGATGTGGATTGTGAAGCGGCGGAGGCCGATACCCCCCTGAATTCGATCCCACCAGTCGGTAACCAAAGTCAGGGGTTAAATATAAGAAAGTAGGCGCTCTATCTTCATCAATAGACTTGGCGACTGAGCTTATATTCTTTTGGGAATAAAGGAGGCCTCGGTCCAGAAGCGGATGTGATGAACACTACTCACCACCTGTATCCCGAACAAGGCGAGTTTCGATCCATCCAGACACTAACAGGAGAGATGATATTGAGTCGCAGCCCCCGGCTACTGCATGCACGGAGGCCTCCAATTCGTGGGCAACCGTAGACTATACCGAATCCGACTCAGCTATGGGCATTGCCCGGAAGGTATTAGTCCTTGTCCTTAAGATATTTTGAACGTCACTTACCATGGGCGGATTCAATATAGATCTATAGGTTAGGAAGTCAGAGCATTGGTGATCATATGATTTCAGCTATTCCAGACGGAGGCAATGGTATTTGGATGCCTGAAAGAAGACATAACGATAAGCGAGAGCCGATATCAGTGATACTTCGCAGCCGTTTTCCTGATCCGCAGCTGGTCAATTCGTTATTGGAAGAGTACTTTGATGCTGTTCACTGCTTCTCCTTAGTGATATTCGAACCGAAATTTCGACAGCGTCTCGCGCCTATGCAAGATGGTCTTGCATATCCTTCCGACGAATCTTTCTTAACTTTACTGTCGATGGTTCTATGCATGGCTGCTTGGTATCGCTCGAAGAGGACAAATCAAGATGACGCTAAGGAATGGTCTAGCACCCTGCTCAATGTTGTCGAGTCACGTTTAGTGAAGGTTATGGACAGGAGGTCGATTGCTGCTGTGCAGACCTGCATCTTATTGGGCTCGCATCATCTGTATCACGGTAGACCAAACTTGTCGTTTGCACTTTTGGGTGCTACGATCAAAATCTCTCAGGCAATGGGACTTCATCGGAAGTCAGACAGTGGTGACCCCCTCGAAGTTGAAGAGCGTAAACGAATCTGGTGGACAATATACACGTGGGATAGGTAAAACCCCCTCTTTTGGTGTTGTGGGAAATCCGCTAACCCTTGACCCTTCAGGTTCGCATCTATTTCATATGGGCGTCCCCTGAGTATAAATGATGAGGACTTTACCGTTGAAATGCCAAGTGATTTTCCCGAGTCACCATATTTTGTCGAGCCCCCTGCTGAACAAAATGAAACGGGAATTCTCTACGCACCCTACCAGAGAGAGCTTAACCGGATGTATCTCATTGCATCCCCTGCTCTGAAGTACATTTTCGGCTCCCTTGCCATGCCAAACTCCAAAGAGCGGTTTAGACCCGACTTTTCTTCTCTAGTCAACGAGGCGACACAAAAGCTCGCAGCTTGGCGCCATCAACTTCCCCCACAATTGATGCTGGATCTTAACCAAGATTATGTACCTGAGACTAGTAGCTGGAGTAGTAGAGCACATGTTATACAGTCTCTTTCTCTTCAGTTAACGTTTGACAACATTATGATCGTGCTATATCGGCCATTTCTGTCCCGGAAAGTTGAACACTTATCCATGAACGGCTCGGTAACTCACACGCGAGCTAATAGTATTATCGAGTCATCAAACGGAAGTCAGGCAGAAACCATGTCATCTCAAGATAACAACATTTCTGTGCATGACCAGTTATCTCCAATGAGCGAAGGGACAGCAAGCTTGGAGCACTGGTGGAATGCTGCGTTGAGAACAGCGCAGGTAACCGAGTTGCCCCAGCTCGCTCAGCTTGCTACGGACAGCCACTTAGTAGCGTTTATGGCTATAAACTTGTTCAATGCAGCTATAGTCCTGATATCCCTCGCGCTTTCTGATCCGCTCTCCGACAGAGCTCAGGGGGCGAAGCGACTGGTAACGAAGATTTTCCGATTACAGGAGATTTTAGGTCAACGATCGGCTCTGTCTCGCCAGAGTAGCGTCGTTCTCAAGAACCTGATATACTTGCTTCTCCGGCAGGAGGTGGAAGCCATGCTTGCTCCTGTGCCAACTCCAACTTCAAATACTCAGACCGGAGCACGTATCGCACCACGCCCCTTGGATTTGACTAATACCAGCCTTATGTCAGTAGGAGATACACTCCGGTTGCCCCTGGAGGCAACACTCAGCACATCAGATCACATCACTTCGGGTCAGAATTGGTCAAGTTTGAGCAAAGGTCAGCGTCTAAATCAGAGCCTGGCATCAGTTCAGAGAGGTAACAATGATTTCTTTTTCTTCTTCTTCTAGGCTTTATGTATCACTAATTTTTCCAATACAGTATTCCCATCATTTCAAGATCAACTACTACAGCAGTCCAACGCTATGCCATCCCCTAGCAGTGGGCCTATGGAACAAGACTGTGCATCTAGACTACCACCACAAGATCAACAACCATGGCAATCTCATATAGCACGACAAGATGTCAATGGTGAAGAGGAAGGAAATGATCTGTTCTGGCTCTGGGATGTCACCTGGGATACGGGCTATGCGTAATGGACTCATAAACTAATTATGATAAACATAGCATGGAAGATAAATAGCAAGGTGGAGATATTGAGTCTTATTAATTATCAAAAGATCTGTGTTCATAAGGCCATCGTGGTTGAGATCTTTAAAAGGGGGACATCACGTAAAACGCAACCCTGTGTTGGAATTTTTATTTGCGAACAGTTTAAGGCAGTTTCAATCACAAAAGAACATTTTGATTACCGAAAGACTAAAAATGCCATCAGAGTTGTCACTGTCGATAATCCGTGAACGGATGTAGAATTCATGCTACTTTACTCCCAGCCCCAATCTCTCAGCTCCGGTCCACTTCACGCTGCAGCGCGCGGTATTCCGACGGATCGGTTCTAGTTGACAGCAGACTTCATTGCGCTCTTTTTCACGAGGTACGCGTATGCAGTAGACATATAATGCTTGACCTAGACCTCCAACTGATCTCTAGAGACGTGATGACTATTTTATTATAAGGAATATCCTAATCAGGATGAAGAGTTAAGATTCCAGTTCAATCCGGAGCTTCATTTTTTCCTCTTTTTCCTTTGAAGGCGCCCCAAGCGTTTCAAGGGAGTCCGTGCTTCCTTCTCTCTCCACTAATTAGGTATCGTGTCCTCACTGCCGTGCTAAGCTTGGGTAGTCCTTCGTAGGGTTTCGATTCCGGGCTTGTGGAGAAGATGGGTTGTTTCGACGAATCACATAATACGCACAAAATGAGTAAAATACGAACAAGAGACAGGCAAAACCGTTAAAAGCTATTTTTCTCTACAGCATAAGGGGAAAGACTGGAAGAAGTGCATTGCCGGTTATACGAGAAGACCAAAAAAAAAACTGTAAAAAAAAAGGGGGAAAAACTTGGTTGCAATCCTAGTTTTCTAGGAAGCATCAGGAATTGAGCCCGATGCGGGGGTCGAACCTGTGAACTCGTGTGTTAGCATGGGACAACAAACTTGCTGGAGGAGGATTGGGATTAGCTACTAACCCGCAACCTTGAGATTAAGAGTCTCACGCTCTACCGATTGAGCTAACCGGGCCATGGAATGGCTGGTACCCTTAGTGGGTGGCAAAACCGTGGTCTATCAGTCTACTTACACCAGCAAGCTTTTCCAATTTTATGAAATTTTCTGATCAAAACCGTTTAGAGTGTGGTCATAATTTCAAGAGTTAAGATGGGAATTACCAGGAAGTTATTGTCCAAAGCGAAGTTATAAGTTTCCTAGATAGATTACTGGTGTTTGTCATGAATATTTCACAAGGCAAGTTTTTTTATATGCCGGCTGGGTTCCCATCATACACCATAGTATGTTGTGCGATGGCTAGGCTAGAGAGACTGGAAGAGCAAGGTATAACACACAAGGAGACGTCTTATATCACGGCGGGATCGATTGAGGAAGATACAAATACAGCCTCATATATATAAAGCTATATATAAGTGGTAACTCTATTAACAAATGTAGGGCTAGCACTCAGGCCATACCATGTCCTTTTCATACATTCTAAGCTCATCATGACTGTCTTACACGCAGTGGGTATCTATTCGTCTTCGTAAATCCGTTTAGCTAGTAAAATGAGGCGCATTGAGGAAGAGACCCATGAGGACTCCGCCAATCGTGCCGGCGATGGGAATGGTCATGATCCAAGAGAGTAGGAGGAGACCGACTCGCTGGAAATTAACAGCTTTGATGGTTCCGTTGCAGAGACCAACACCAACAGTGGCACCGGTGATGCACATGGAAGTCGATACGGGTAATGAGAACTGAGAGAATACGAGAACTGTAATAGCAGCTCCCATCTCCATGGATGAACCTCTGCTAGGAGAGTGGTATGTAATCTTGTTACCCATGACTATTTTATACGAGTTAGAAAAATCAGGACATTACTAGTACATCATTGGTCAAGACTTACCCTTCATGATGTTGTATCCGTACGTGATAAGACCAAGGGAAATGGTTGCAGAAAGAACGGCAAGCTGCCAAATAGGAACGGGAGCCTTAGATGCAGCCGCATCGCCCGTGGACCAGGCCGTGTAGATGACAGCCCAAGGACCGACTGAGTTTCCAATATCGTTGGCACCATGAGCAAACGATGCAGTGCAAGCAGTGATAATCTGGACAAAAGAGTACGTGTGTTCGACTTCGTTAGGGTACTTCTCTGCATGGGCATATACACACTGCATACGCTCGCCTTCGGGGGTACCGGCGATACCAGACTGGGCGGCGTGAATGTCGTAGTGGAGACCATAAAGCAGCCCGCAGACAATCATAGCTGGGACGCGTTTTGCCATGATCACGAGGTTGTGCGTTTCATAGATTGCACCGGGACCCATTGGGTTGTCGCGGAGTGTACGCATAGCCCAGCCTAGAGGCCCGCGCTTCTTCAGAAGTTTTGCATGAAGTCTGTCCTCTCCCTCGGAAACTATGTCCTTATATGTAGCTTGTCTAGTCTCGTTCGTAACAAGCTTCTTCTCGTTTTCCTGGACGGTATTGGCGACGTTCTGCGTTGAATCGGATTCCACCAAGGATTCTGGCGAGCGGGTGGACGACACCTCCTCATGATCCTGGACCACAGCATAGTCGGGGACGTCAGCCTTATCGCAGTCGGCCGGAGGAGGGCGCTTGAAAAGAAGAGGGCCTTGAATAAACATCCACCATTTGACGGTGTGACTAGAAACGAAACTGTCAATATATTATCCGGACGGTATGATGAACAGGGTGAAAATTAAATGAGAAATGAAGAGAATTACGTACTCCTTCCTGATGACCTTCGAGTGCACATAGGGAACGAAGAACAAAGCCGACAGAAGGCAAAGACCGCCACCTGTGCCCATGGTCACAGCGGCAATATACCAGCCCGGCCTCTCCTTGAGGTTGAGGTTGGGCGATCCCTTATAGACGATTGATAGCGTACAAATAGTTCCGGCGATGAGGAAGAAGAACGGGGATGTCCAGACAGCCCACGGTACGGGATTCTTGCGCACATGCACAGTAAGCTTGATGAGCATAAATATGATGGCGCCGAATCCACCAGAGATCACAGGTGCCATGCCCAAGCCAGCGAAGATGGCACCAAGACCCTTGCCGTTGTTCCAGCCCCATTGCACCTGAGAGGCACCGGCAGTCGCAACACCAACACCAGCAACCGCCGAGATGAGAGAGTATGTGGAGGAAACGTGAGCTGAGTGTCGCGTGCACCACATCACCCACGTAGACGCGGCAGCAAGCGCACAGGTAAACGCGAGCATCTGGACACCAGCATTATCGCGGAATGCCTCGTTGGGGATAATGCCATTCTTGATGGTCTCGGCTGTTCGCGCACCAACCGTGATAGCTCCGAGCATCTCAAATATAGTACCGAATATCATCGCCTGTCTGTAGGTAATAGATCTTGAAGAAACACTGGTTGCCCAGGCGTTGGCCACATCATCTAATTCGTAATTGTAAGTAATCGAGCTTATATATAATAAAGAAACTCCATGATGAGTATATTACTTACTTGCACCATTGTTGTATGCGTCTAGCATGGCAAACAATGTGCCGATCACAAAGACATAGGTATATTCGTCGAGAGCCATTTTTGAAGGACTAAAAGGCTAAACGAGCTTCAGCTTATGGGTAAGCAGATGGACTCCTCCTGCGCTCGTGCTTAGTCTGGGAGAATTGAAAGAGTGGAAGTGCGACATAAATGCCTTTTATGTGCCTTCTACTAATCCTAGATAACTCCACGTGCCCACGGATGTTGCTCGAGGATGCTCATACGCCTCGAGAGTCCCTTACACCACACGATGGCCAGAGACCCTCCCGAGGTACTTTAGCACCGGGAGACGACAAAACGGCTGAAGAGACGACCTGCCCCATCGATATCTAGCCATGTCCTGCATATGCCACGTTCTCGACTGAACGGGTATGATTCGTGCATATAGACCTTTGAACGCCACATTTCTTACCAGCATTGAATGGTGTTAGTCGGGCGAGCGATTCGAAGTTCCAACTTGGCTTTGCCTGGCCGTCGTTGGGAAAGCCACCGAAAGAGAAGAGGCGACCGAGATATCGAACTTGGCAGCAGCTTGGCAAGCGCCTTTATATATACAAACGGACGTGAGGCTATGTGGGGATTTTCTTGTCGTTCGAGGATGAGGCTCTTGGCGGGTCTGGGCTGCATGGGAAGTACCGGCCTATGAGAACCTCAAACTCCCCCACGTGGGTGATGAGGTTGGTTCTTAATGGTGAAGCCCGAGCGACGCCTCGTCCGTTCCAACGCCCTGGTTTCGAGCCGGTGATGTGAGGATCGAGGGAAGGCGAGCTGGAAATTCCAGGTTTTCATCGATTCATTGTGTGATTGTGATCCCACTTCCCTGTGATCCATATTCTAGAAAAAATTTATCGAGCGTGGAATACAGAAAAGAGCTATAAACCTGGAATATGGAGATTTCTGCCTTTCCCGCTACGAGAATAGCGCCGGCGATCCCAAGAGCGAAAGGAAGCTAGCACGGCGAGCAACACCAAGGCGCGGCGCGTGTATGATAGGCACTCAAGACAACATTTTCGTGGTTCTATACTACCAAAGTGAAACATATGAAATAGGCCAAGTTCTAAGCCTGAAACAAAGTCGAGTGAAGGTATATTTTGGCATTACATAATTATCATATATATTGCAGCGTGGGTTGAGGGAATCAAGTCTTAGTTCAGGGCGATCTCATATTAGCGCTTTGTTTCCAAGACTTACTTTTTGCTCACCTTCCTACAAGCTTCCATGGCATTCATGCTTTGCTGTAGCTTAGCAGTCCAAGCGGCGATGGTACCTGCATGCCCTTTTTTCCAATTTGACGATAAAACCAGAACCAAGAAAAATGAGCAACAAATTACATTTAGATATGTATGTACGTCCTTGGTATAATACATGTAACCTAACCCAATATATTCCGAACGTGTTATACATGTATGCCTTTTTTTAACGTGCTTCACTCGACTCTTGGTATATCTACTGGATAGCTTTTTCATAAGAAATAGACATTAAGGGCCTCTCTATTGTATCCAATGGAAACCCAGATTCATCGTTTTGCGTGTTTCCCTTTGTATTCATTATAGTGACGTTGAAGTGATCGTTATAATTTTCTTACGTTTCAAAAGTTCCAAGCTCAATCTTGGTCAACCTAAAACCTTTCAATTCATTTATAGCCCTTACGGTCCTCGTACCCTTCAATGGCCCTAATAGGAGGAAATGTTCTAAACCGGTTGGGTGGTTGAGCCTGCGATCATTTCATCATACGCGACTTTAAAATATCTATATTTAGATGTTTCAATCACTGGTATAAAGTGCCAAGTATCTTGTACAAGTTTCATAGGCTCTCACTCCTCCGTCGGATCAGCTACAGCATCACCACTATACAGCATCAACCTATTAGTCCGTGGTCATTGAGCACATATGACCAATCTTATAGTTTCACATTCAAGTCACCTTTTATAAATAATCAATTGTTTCATACAAGCGGAACTGCCCAACTTCTTTGTGTGTACTGAATTTGTATAATATACCCTTAAATCGGAAGCTGTCATTATTTCATATAGCTTTAACATAAGAAGAGTTATGTTACAGCTTCATATAATGTATTGATTTATATCCTGTCCCTAGTTTCACCTTGATGGAACCCATAACATATTAATGCATTGATATACACATATCCGGTGGGCAGACAGATTCATGACTGAGGTTTTGACGCGGTATACACCATGGGGTACCTGGCAAAACCATAAGTAATCACTATCTTCTCAAGATGTAAAACGAAACAGGAACTACTTGAATCACCTCATTTATAACATGCCACCTCGTAGTCTACCACACTACCAACATTAATATCAGTCTTCTTAGCTAACCCTACAACCTTCGGTAAATAGTAGATACCTGGGTAGTGAGCCAGTGAGGTTGACGTGATGGGTTTCAAGACGAAGCGATCATAAATAAATGTGAAATCCTTTACAATATATAACAGGATATAGTGTGTTGCCGAGCCTTGGTACAAGTAAAGCAGTCGCAAATA